ACCCCAAAAGACAAAGTCACTTTTTGTAAGTCGAATGGCACGCTCACCTATTGGTTCTAGTGGTGAACAAGTCTTCTTGGATAAGGACTCTAAACCGTAGGCCCAGTGTACACAATTGGTTCGTGTGCACTTAATGAACCCAGTACATCCTTCGAGAAGAGTAGAGAGCTACCCCGGTGTATTGGTCGATTCATCCCCTGTCGTTGTGGACAGACGAAAGTGCGCCTCATGGCAGCTGATCGGACATGATGTGACCCTTTGTGGGAGAAGAAAGTTGTTAAATGAGTTGGTCAACGCCTGTGTGCATTCCAGCCCCTAGTTGAAGCTCCAAGTCACAGATTATTTCCTACGTTTACATTTTGTAAAATAATAAGCAATTGTTTATGTACACCATATTTCTCTTAAGCGGTCGTATGGCTGAGCAGTTAGCAGGTTAGGTGGTTTGAACGGCACGCTCGTCTATTGTTCTGGTGGTAAAACAAGTCTTCTCAGATAAGGACTATAAACCGTAGGCCAATTGTATACAATGGCTCATTCGAGACTACACACAGACCCACAGAGATAGTAATGCTCACAGAGACTTGAAAATAGCCAATGGCGGTAGAACTTTTTTAAAAGTAGAGGGCCATTTTATAAGGGCCAGTATGCGAGAGAAGCGAGTATCTTGGCTGTGGGCCCGGGGCCGCTAAGGGCCCCTAGTTGGGGTTCGAGGAACAAAGCCCCCTGGAAGCTACGGATATTTTTACGAAGTTTGGTGAGTTTTATAAGTTATTTTTTGTAGGCATCATGCTACGCTAATATGACTTCACATTTGTTGTAATTTCCAGTGGCGGATCCAGGAGGTTGAAATACAAGGGTCCATGGAGAATACTTTCACAGATAAAGAACTATTTTACCTTGGCCCCACCATGGTTGGTAATAAAATCAGTGATTATGGCACTTCTAGAAGGCCGGAAATTACACTCCCAGACTTAAAATTTGAATATAATTATTCTCCATTAAAAAAAAGAACAATTTAGCCCCCCATTTTAGCCTTCCCCCTCCACTTGAACGCACCACAGATTTTCGAACAAAGTCGAAGTCCAGATTGCTTCTACGATCTCAATGAATTATTTATCATGAGGGTTATCCTTGATATGGATATTCTCCGACAAAACCTTCACTTTTCCCCCGATGGATAAAAATTACCCTTCTAGTAGCCCGGAAATGATACTCTAACTATGGGAGGTAGGGGGTTCCAGTAAGTCAAATAGAGGGGAGCCTGGGAGGGTCTTGCGCAAATAGAATGTCCACCCACCTTTGCCCCACAACTATTGGGGCTGAGATAAACAGAAATTATGATTATAGCACGTATAGATTACCGGAAACGGCACTCTCAGATTAAAAGTTGAATACAATTTTGTTTGTTTTCTCCATTTTTCAAATAATTTTGAAAAAAAATTAGAAGGTGGGGCCTGTGCTGACTCGGTTCCCTATTGAGTCTACCACTGTTCAATATAACACTTGACATAGCCTAACATTTTGTTTCACAAAATGATTAATTCCTCATGTCAAGCGATTTTTTTTTGTTGGAAAGATTTTTTTTTTACTCAATACAGTTTTTACAACTTTATTTAAAAAAATGGCCTAATTAAGTATGTTATTGTTTTTGTTTAGATGGAATTTAAATGTGGTTATATTACACTAGTTTAAAGGTTTACTGTAAGCCAATCAGTTACACTTACTAGACTATGCATTTTCGTGGTTAGCATAAAGAGAACTAGCGTCGCCCCATTAAGAGTACCTAAATCCCCCCATATACCTAAAGACAGAATTCACGAAAGCAGGCGATTCCATTTTTGTTGTTGTTTATGCTCGAGGGTGGGTTTCAAGGAAACTTTACAGACGCGCGTATACAGACGTCAATCAACATTTGGCTGTTCAAAAAGGGAACTTGTAATGTTCGTTAGAAAATGAAAAAAAAAAATCAATATTTTTAATAATAGGTCAATTTGTAAGGTGCAAATAAACAAGGTCTTAGAAACACCAACTAATAATAATAATAATAATAATAATAATAATAATAATAATATTAATAATAATCATAATAATAATAATAATTATTATTATCATTGCAGCGTTCGTAAAATGTTTGTCGCTGGTGCTGGGAACAGTCACAAAAGTGGGAGTGCTATTAAATAGGTTTTTGTATTTTCAGACTAACACTAAACTTCAGAACCTACTATCAATCACTTGTTTTATTCTTACATTAAGTCAAATACAAAGCCCATACGATGGCTGAATCTCGAGGCCGTAAAAGTAAATGGGTACGTTTCGTTCTATCTTATAATCAAAATCGAACACTGCGTTACTCGCTATGCTGCAGTTAACAGCTGATCGCTGGGGCTGACACAGACTTGAAAATACGTTCTATAAGGATGATTATGAATATTTCATGATATTTTACCAAACTATCCTTTGTTACGCAAACTCGCTAACGGGTACCACAGAAAAGAAGGGACCCTTATGGGCGAAGAAAGTCATTGATGATGATGATGTCTTCCTCATCATTATCATCGTCGTCATCATCGTTACCCTCACCCTCCCACCCCCCACGAAGTGTGGAAGAGGGTATTGCAATGAGCTCCGTCTGTCTGTCTGTCCGTATGTCGGTAGGTCTGTCGTTCTGTCTGTGTGTCTGTCTGCCTGTCGGTCTGTTTGTCTGTGTGTCCTTCCGGGTGCATAACTCAAAACCTACTGGACGTTTAACCTCAAACTATCACACATTGACAACTTTACATGTGTCTTTGTCTTCCTTGCCTCTTGTGTTCATCAGAAGTAAGATGTAGATTTTAGATTTTTATTAGTTTTGTTGCAACTGACAGAGCCAACTCGAACGAATCGTTCGACTGAGTCATATGGCTAGGCCATGCTGACTCGAGTGGATCGATCGCGGACCGACTCGAGCGGACTGACCATGTGTCAAATTTTGGCCAGCGGACAAGCAGCAGCACAGAAGGCGTGTAAGCCCAATTGATGGGCTTGCCACTTGAGACCTATGTTAGGCCTCTTTTGGCAGACGGATTGGAGAAGATGCAGATTTTAGAATATATTTAACTGCTGTCCCAATTGTTACCACTGTAAATTTCATCATTATAATCATTTTACACATCTTAAAGTTCAATGTCCAAGAAGTGAAGGTGTGAGTTTATGTGGTGCTTGAATCATCGTGGTTATTAATTGTGATAGAAGAGATGGGGATGTGTAAGACAGTAGGTATGTAGAAGGTTGCAATTTCTGAGAAAGGGAATAAAACCATGAAAAAAGGTGAATGACTGAGGACTTGTTAAATAATGATGTTTGAGAGATGAGTTAGTTGTAGAGATGTGATCAATAGAGATCCGTGGGACAACCTGTGTGGAGCAAGATGGTGTTGGACTTGATTTGAACCATTAATTTTTCTTTACTTTGGAACTGAAGATTTAATGTGAGCGACGGTATATATACTGTCTCTTATACACATCTAGATGTGTATAAGAGACAGCTACCAGCTACAGTGCTTACTTATACCCAACACTCAGGGTACTTTAATCAACTTAATTAACATTGGCCTAACACACAAATCGAGCGAATAAATATTCACTGAATTGATGTCGGCAGCGCTCAAGGCGCTGTAATATAAGTCAGGCTTTTTCCTTACCTATAATCATTTTGCCTTTGGAATAGCTAGTGAGACGTGACATGAAAAAATGTTTGAACATATGAAAACATTAGCTGAGGTAGACAACTCCACGTCTTTAGTCCATTACCCGGAATTCCTTTATTCTCCACTACCTCATCTAAAGCAAGTTTTTAACTTCACAACTCTCTCTTTTACCAAGTCAAGTTAATCTGCCATTTGAAAAAATATTACCCACTTAGTCAATCCTCTACTTAGGGAAGTGGACTGTTGAATTTTATGGATAGCGGTGATGGGCTCCATCATACGCCATCATTTAAACATGCAGTTTCGGGGGTTTTCAAATCTTTCTATTTTCAAACATTATATGACATTATTTTTGATGGTCAGTGCTATTGAGATTGGCGATGTTGATGGACTGAAAGCATTCCATATTGCTGAAGTAGACTTCAACACCTCTGATGAAACTGGGAGGACAGCACTCCATCGGGTATGTAATGCAACGGCATTCTTGTTATACTTACTTTGTTTTCAGTTTGTGTTGTTGTTATCCCCGACCCAAACCCAACTACTTAAAATAAAAACCACTTTTTAAAACTTGGGCCTTTAGATAATATTTAAAAAGAAGTGTATCCTCAGCAAAACAGTATAAAAATACTCAGGATACTTTTGTTGCATGTTACAGTACTGCTGATGGCAACTATAGAACATAGCATATACTAAATGTTGACCATTTAGTATATTAGTAAAATTATTAATTATAAGATTCAATTCAAAGTGAAATTATATAATAATTTAGATATTGAATTGCTACAGCAACGGAATCATGTTATTCAGTCGAGGCTCCTCTTGATCCTATGCCTGCTTAATACGTGATGCAAGTACAATTAGTATTTTGTTCTCTTTTGTGGTGCGCTACAACCTTTAATTCAAGAATGACTTCGATGTTTCCATTTATTGACATGCTGATACACAGTCTCCTCAAATTAAAGACTGCTTTTGAGACCGGCGTTTTCATGGTCTTTAGCAGATTTAGTCACCTAGCGGCTCTGATAAATTTTTGAATTGACACTATATAAATATTTGTTGTTGTTGTTCTGTGTAACGGTCTAGCGCTTAAAGACCACAATCTTGCGCATAGGCCAAATATGCCTAACATGTATTGCCTATATTTAAAAATATAATTAGTTCTTTATTCTCTATAATTTAATATAATTTATTCTTTATATAAAAATATATGTATATTTTTTCTTTCTTATTATAATACTCATCATAAACAGTACTAAAAATACGATATAATTGATTTTGTAAATATCATGATTCACTTCGGACCAAATGGGCACAAACCAACTTAGTCCAAATGTTTGACTGCTCGGCTCCCAGCAATTTTGAACCCAAATAACAAATCATACCAAAACAAAACTCTGACCAAAATGTAATGCCAATCCCATTTTTTGTATGGTTTTTCTCTTACTTTCGATTACCGGTGGTAAAAGTAGATGCACTAAAAATGTGAATTGGTTGTTGCATTCCTGAAATATGAGTTCATACTGCACTAAAGTGGCAAAGGATTTCCGGGCAGCTAGGAGAACATCTTCCTGAGACAACATGTGGGAGGGGGTGTCGCATGGTTTTCAAAAGTCTATAATCAGAGAAAGACCTGTATTTGTTTTCATTGATCACAGACTCTGCAGCCACATGTAATAACTTTTCATTGTCGTTTTTAGGCAGTGGAACTGCAAAAAACTGAATGCATTAAATACCTGTTGGATAACGGTGCAAATATCGATGCAAGTGACACAGAAGGACTCACTCCTTTAGGACTTTCACAGAATTCTTCCTCTGAAGACATATCAGCACTCTTAATGTCATACAGTAATGGCTCAAGATTGTAAGTAGTCAATCTGCTGGAAGTGAAAAAAAACTATGAAAATGTAATGTTTTAAAGGCTTATTTAATCGTTATTAGAGTCTACTAATATGTAAAATATACATTGCGTTCTCACTTAGCCAATGCCACTCGGACTACGGGTGCTGTACCTGGTTCTCTTCGCTTATCCAAAAAACTTAAAAATAAATTCCAAACATCCCATAACTAAGGTTATTAGATGTGTCTTGAGACTACATTCACAAACCCATGTTGGTTACAATGAATATAAAATTAAATTGGCTACCTTGTTTGTTGCAAAAGGTAAATGTATACAAATTTAAAATAAATATAAATGGCATATCTCCTGTATATTTATATACTGGTATTGAGTTTACTAACCAACTATAATACTAGATTTTCTACTTCTAGAATGTCAATTTATAAACCAAAATCTGGTACATACAGTGGATTTTCATTCATTGATACCGCTTTTAATGAAGTACTGTATTCCATATCTGTTTAAGCTACTATCGACATTATTATTGTTGAATTTATTTAAGTTGATTACAATTAATTATAGTGATGGGTGTGTCACTTACGGAAGTGTAATGTTAATTTTGATATACTATTGATATATTTCTTTCATACTTAAGAAAGTGTTATGTTAATGTTACTATACAATTGATTTATTTAGAAGATTATACTAGCTTGCTTGTGATTGGCTATGCTATGTCACTGTAAGACAATTATTAATAGTATGATTTGTTCATGAGATCAAGTTAATATAGGACTGTTTGTGATTGTTTCACATCAAAGATTGTTTTGTGTAATATGTGCGGGAAATTTAATTTTAGTTAAGTTTGGTAACAGCTCTTCAAGACTGAACTTTGTCTTACTTGCGGCCTAGGCGTCGTAATTGCATGTAAGTGTATGTGGATTGCTGAGAACTAAAATAAACTCAGAATTTGAAGTTAAAGTATATTTTTTGTGTTGGCTGAATTAATTAAAGAGGTAGGTGGTGTTGGTGACAAAGAATGTGTGATAATTGTGTTATACAATTAGTAACAAAGTGAAAAGAAGAAAAACTATTGTTTAATACAAGAAGAAGAGACGTATTGAAAAGAGAAGACAGTAACATTAATATTATTACACCAGTTACATAATAATAATAATTATATTATATTACATTATATGGTGACAACTACGTTATACCGCTGTTGGAATAAATTACCTTCATTGTTTAAAATAAATAATGAATTAATAATAAAATCTAGGCATGAATAGAAATAAATTGCTTTAAATAGGTATCAAGCTTCCAGTACTAAGTTGCCTAGTGCATTTAACAACAACAATAATAATACAAGCTAATTATAGTATTTATTTTTTTAGCTTTCTTTTGTTATGTGTTAAGTAAAAAAGAGCTTTTAACACCTCTTTTACTGATAGAGGCTTTGTTATTAATTACTGAAGACGTGTACTTTTACTGTTAACTGTAAAATTGTCTCATTCTGCTTACAAATTTGAAATTAAAAAAAAATCTTGATATTCAATTACTGTATGTAAATCAAGGAACATGCAAATTATTTAAATTTCAATTCAATATTTTATTGATGATCTGGTAGAATCTTTAATATTTGTTTCTTAGGTATGCTTTATGTAATAAGAGAGCCACTTGATAATCACAATCTTGGGGCATATTTTATTTGCATTGCTTTTACCTGGATTTTGAATACATTTTTTTTTCAATCAGGAGGAGTCCTAATTTTGAAAAATTAAACTTACAACCTAACCACTGATATAGTAGGTCTACATTTACTAATAACACAACTTAATAAATCAGCTAATTAATATTTAATTGTAATTGATTAAATAATTAATACTTAAATTAATACAATGTAATAAAATTTGTTAATTAGGTTGTATTAGTATCAGTTATTTTTTATACTTAAATAATTATAACTTAATCAAATCTGATTAAAAAAAATTAATTTAAGCATGTAACTTATGCTTGAATTATTACAAACTAATAAGATGTGTTAATTAGGTTGCACTCTATTATTTTTTATAATTAAATAAATACAACATAATAAACTAACTTATTTATTTATTTATTTATTTATTTATTATATATAATTATTTAAATACATATAGCGTAATTAACTGATTTATTAGATTGAATTATTATTAAATGTTGTGTTTATAATTTTTTTTTAGGTAGAATCATGAGTAAACATTTTTCAAATACATTGTTAAATTTGTTATTAGTTATTATTAATGCAAAAATCTGTTAATAATTAGGTTGATATCATTTAAGTTTAATATTTATGTTGGTTTATGTTTTTAAAGTGCAGCATTTTAAAGAATAAATGCTGAGTAGTATTACAGGAATTATAGGCCTATGAGCTATATTTATGTCTATTTTCAGATCTTATTACATGGTATTATTAACAAAAATAAATGATACTAAAACAACCTAATTAACATTTCTTATTAGGAAAGCCTCATTAACTGATTCATTAGGTTGTATGTATTATTATAAATAAATGTACTATATGATATTAATTCAACCAAAAACAATTATTCATTGGGTTGTATTTATTCAAGTATCATACATTTATGTAAATACCCAAATAAATACAGGATTATTAGATTGTATTTATTTATATACAACATGATACACAATAAACACAAACGATTTGTATATTGTCACGAAAAAAAATACAAGCTTTAAATGCCCAGATAATTGTTCTTTTAAGTGATATAGACACTATAACTTTTAAAAGTGAAATTTTGTTTTAGGGTTGACATTTTTGATTACATTCAATATAAATTCAACCTAATAAATTCAGCCTAGTTAATGCAATAAAAAACTAAGTGAATATTAGTAGGTTATTATTGGTGTTACTGTAACAACCCGGACGAAAACCACCCAAATACAACAAATAACAAAATTAATGTACAACAAACTTATATAGTACATGAAATTAAATAAATAAAATGTGTGCCTAATAATAATAATCAGATTGTATTTACTTAAATAATTTGCTAATTTATTAGGTTGTTATTAAATATACTACAAATTGATTAATTGGATTGTATTTATTATTAAAATACCATATACTATATAGTACAGTTCATTAAATGATGACAGTTTTTCTAACTTTTGCTTTTCCTCGGCACCCCTGTCCAACTTTTCTGTTTTTGTCGTAAGATTGAAAATAAATAAATAAATAAATATTTACTTAAATAATACAACCTAACCAGGTTGTATTTATTTAAGTAAATGTGTGATACTTAAAGAAATACAACAGAAATTATGATGCTCTATTCTATGAGTGAATTTAGTAATAAATACAACCTAATAAATTAGGCCTAGGTAATGCAATAAAGAAATAAGTTTCTATTATTTCTATTATTAGGTTGTATATTTTACTGTTATTAAATGTACTATAATATTTAATATATTTATGTAAATAAATACAGATGATATTAGATTGTATTTACTGTGATAAATTTAGTAAAATAAATTTAGTAAAATAAATATATACAACCTAATAAATAATTAGCCTAGTTTAATACAATGGAGAAATAACTGATTCTGTAATTCGCTAGTTATGCTATGAACACCAGAACTTACCATATGAGTAGGATTAACTGGGTGTGTAATGGCTCCTGTCTATGTCTTAACCAACACCCCTATTCTGAAATGGATCATTCCTTTGTTAGCGGCATTATTTCCTACTGATATTTCTTCCTACTCGCTTTATTTTATACACCCGTTGTTCGCCTATACAGACCTTTATAATGTAGGGGTGGCCATGGCCTATACAACGTGTTGTTTTCTTGTCTATTAATTATTTTACATAAGCGTAATAAAGACATTGATTATGATCATTAACCTCTGTTGTGTGTTATAACAGTATTATTGCTCGTTAAACCAGGTTGAACTTTTAATCAGTTGGTGAATTCGCATTAGGTGATGCAGACACTGCACACTTGTTCTCCACGAATGGGCATGTTTTGCCCTATCTAATACACGCGTAACCACGGAAACGTGTATTTCTATTGTTATCTTCTCAATGAAGGGCGTTTACAGGTAAAGTTCTTGATTTTAGGGCGATGTATTTTATGTTTTTTTTTTGTTTTTTTTTTTCTAAAATTATACACAAAATCATTGAAAAAAAAACCAGTGTCGGTCGCGGCAGCCTTTCAGCGTCAGTCGGAAATTTTGAGTGCTGCCGGACGAGGCATCAACAATGTGATTTTTTTTGTGGTGTTTATATTCTTTCTCCTTTATATCAATCAATCATTTAACAACGTATAGGCCTAGAAATAATATACAACGAAACATAAAGCATCAAATAGAGTAAGCTTTAATACTATTACTAAAATTATAATAATATTTGGCAGTATATTAATATTATCAACATTCTTTGTTTCTTCTTCCTCTTCTTCAATATAGGCATCGACACTGTAATATGAAAATAATAAAACCCTTTGGTTTGATTATCAAGATATAAATTCGTTTGTTTCAAATAGATAAACCGAAATATATTATGAATCTTAAAACATTATTATTAACTTACACAAACCTAATAAAATCCACTGTTCGTTTGTTTCAAATAGATAAAACGAAATATATGAATTTTAAAATATTTATTAACTTACAGAAACCTAATAAAATCCACTGTTTTGTTCGCAAACTCATCGCAGTAATAATGCCATTGAATTGCTTAAAATAACATTAATTAATTTTCAGCATAAAGAACAGATAATACAACACGATTATCAACATATAATTGCATATATAATGTACATTCGTTTGTTTTAAATAGATAAAACGAAATAGACCTATATGGCATCTAAATCATTGATTATTAACTTACACGGGACTTACAGAAATTTAATCAAATCCACTGTTGTTTTGGCAAACTAATGGCAGCATAATAATGCCCGGATTTCCTTAAAACCATATTACCGTAATTATTTGGCAACATAGAAGACCTAACAAAAACACGAAATAATGGATACTGTAGCACCAATAGATTAACCACACACATACATACATACGTACAGCATGCATTGCTTTACGCCTACTTGGCGTTCCATACAAATATATCCCGGCCGAACTTCTTCACCGCCGAACCGGTCCTACACCACCGGCCTACCTAGCTCTCTCTTATGCCTAGGCCTAGATAAGTCCTAAATAAGTTTCAAAGGTTAGTTAATAATAATAATTCAATAAAAGTCAAGGGTGCGACTTGGTTAGGGGGCGTCTTAGTTAGGGGGTGATTTAGTTAGGGGGCGACTTTGTTAGGGGCGACTTGACGGGGGCGACTTGGTTAGGGAGCGACTTGACAAGGGGCGACTTTACAAGGGGCCGATTTGCTAGCGGGTGTAATATCTGTTTGCTTTTCATGGGTAGAAGATCGGGGATAGCTTGATTTACCATCCCAGTTGTAACGTTTACCCACTTGTCTATATTCCGCAGGCTTGATATCGTCGCTATCTTCATCCTCTTCCTCGGAGTAAGTAGGAGGTGTTAATGAACGATGAGTGACGTGAGTAGCAGACCTGATCAGGGGTTTTCCAATATCTCGAGATCTGCTTCCTCTCCTATTGCCATACAATCCTCGGAGACCGTCGTACTGTTCATACTCTGTCAAAGCTTCTGCCAGAGTAGTAACATGCTTATGGAGGACATATCTCCCGGCCTCTGCATCCCGACAACCAAGACAGAACCTCGTAGCAGCTTGCTGACGGATCCGGCCCTTGGTAGATCTTTATATGCTTTTCGGGTCATAGTCATAACTCGATCACTCCACTCATCAATGGATTTGTCTTCACGTTGAGTGGCGGCTTCCAATCGAGCTTGCAGGACGGCAGGCAAATCTTCCTTCCCGAAACGTTAATCAAAGGCCTTTAAGATATTCTTGAAGGTGATCCTACAGTCTATTTCTAGGAGATTCACATAGAAATCG